TGGACTTCAACTCCCAGAATTCCTCAGCCAGCTGCTGGCTGAGGAATTCTGGGAGTTGAAGTCCACAAGTCTTAAAGTTGCCAAGGTTGGACACCCCTGGTCTCTACGCTTCTGTGCTGCCAACGTCCCGTTTTCGTTTCAGCTGACCGTTCTATTGCTGCCATTTTTCAAGGGCCATGAAATCCCCCCAAACCGCATTTCGCACCGCAGACCCCTTTCTCCTCTCACCTAGGATTTCCACTACTTGCAGGAACACCGAGGCAGGGATGGCGTCCTGCTCGTCTTCGGACCTCCCCTCTCCGTCCTCCTGCTTCCAGGCCAGTAGCTGCTCCGCGAATGCCACGGCCAGGGGGAACTCCAGTGGAAGGGAGTGCAGGACCAGCACGGCACCAGGAGGTGGGGACACGCCTTGAATGGAGACCCAGAAAAGCAGAAGAGCTTATTGGCCGAATTTAGGCTTGGAACGGCTCCCCCTGTGTATGCTATTTCCATAAGAGGAGGCTAACCTAAGCACCAAAATATCGGACACACACCAGCACCCAGCATCCTTCCTCCTGCCCCAAAACAAGGGCGTCATCTCTTCATTCCCAACACGACTGGAAAGTCTGGGCCAATGAAAGTAGCTCTGTCCCAGCTATGTCCAGAGACTCTCCTGACCCCTGGCTCAACTCGAATGGATCGGAACCGGAATTCCTGGCCAGCCTGTACCAGCCATTCATCCAAAGTTCTGGTTTCCCACCGTACCCAGTTTGATGTGGACCTTGTCTGTGGAGATGATGACCGAAGGATACTGGTTGGTGGTGGGCGGTGGGGTCAGGCCCGTGTTGGTGGGAGAAGCGTCCCGAGGGTAGCACACGGCCTCGATGAGGTTCAGCTGGCCGTTCTTCTTGACCTTGTGGCCCAGGCCGTAGAGCAAGATCCGGGCCCAGGGGGCCTTGTAGAGGGACGAGCTGGAAAAGGCAAGGATAGGGTTAGCCAGCAAGCTTCCCTTTCTGGCACCGTTGAGGAGGGTCAGCTGGGGAGGAGAAGCAACCTCGTTCTCCGCTGGGGCCACTTACTCTTTGCGGAATCCAGCCTGGCTCTCCTTGCAGGACACGATGACAAACGCAGCCCCGGGGAAATGGACGTCCATGTTGACTTTGGACTCAGAAATGGGGAACTCTTCCGAGGGGAACTGCTCAGGGGCGTTCTGAAGGCAGAAAGCAAAGCTGGATCGAGTGCAAACAACAAACCGATTGCACCCCAAAAGGCCCCCAAAGGAGCGGGGAAGCGAGCGGAGGAGGAGGAGGAGGAGGAGGCTGTGCTGGTTCCCCTCCCAACTTGCCTGCAGGAAGCAGCAGAGCTGTCTGGTCAGGTCAAGCAAGCTCTCCTCTCCCTGGTGCAGGGTGCGAGCGATGGCGATGGTGAGCCACTCCTGGACCGTCTGGGCGTTGCCCTGGTAGAAGAGCTCGGTGGCCGAGCAGTTCTGGGAGTGGATGGAGTGCTGGAGGGACTGGGCCAAGAGGATGGACGTGGAGCAGATGGTGCCATCTGGGCAGGAAGAAGGGAAACAAAAGGCCCCCTTCAACTCTCTGGCCTTGTGAAAACCAACAGGGTTCGCAGCCCAGCCGCGACAGGGGCGGGTCTCTTTCCATATGCAGACGGGTTTAGGGGCAAAGCCGCAGAGCCCCGTTCACCGACAGGGCTGGGAGGGGGCGGGGCTACCTGGAAGGGGCGGTGCCAGGAGCTGGTTGGAGAGCAGCTGCAGGTGCTCCAGGGTGATATCCCGCACGCTGAAGAGCTGAGTGAACATGTGGGGCGTTTTGGGGGCGAAGATGTTGAGCAGGGCCATCCGGCAGTAGAGGCAGGCCAGCACGGCTTCGCAGCGGAGGAGTTCCCTGAAAGAGACCCAGGGGGTCTTTCTGAAGCACACTTTCTCCACCAGCGGCACTGCTTGGAGGAGGAGGAGGAGGAGGAAGGCCAACATGCGCCCAGAACTGCACATTCCAAGGGACGTTTTGGTGCCCTCGAGGAGCAACTGCACACCCTCAACATTCGTGGACGTCTAAATGGATCGAATAGCTGCTCACCTGTGGATCTGGATGTTCGAGTTGTCCAAAGAAACCAGCCCGTTGGTGGCCGTCCTCCTGTAGCCAGCCGGGGGTCGCTCCAGCATGTCGATCGGGTACCAGTACCTGACCAGGACCCCCTCGCTCCGCAGGTAGGTCTCCACCTGCACCAGCTCGTTCACCTGGAAGGACAAACTCCACCGTTGCCCAAGACGTTTAGCACGGGGTGCCCAGGACCCCCTCCCCCTCCTGGCCTCAACAGCGACTCTCTACTTGCCGAATCAACGTCCAGGACCACACCGTGCAGTCCAAAGGTCTTCAGCATCCCACGGATGGCAAACTTGGGCAGGGCGGTTGCCACGGCATTGGTGGCCACGTTGTTGCTCTCCGGGTAGCGGGTCACGACTGTCAGACCTGGAAGAAGGAGGGGGAGGGGGAAGGGGGGGAGGGGGGAGGGGAGGTTTAGTGCCAGGGCCTCTGAGCAGCCCTTTTAAGGGGGCCATTTCTCCCTCTCCCCACGAGACCCCAGGTGGGCAGAGACGGACGGATGCAAAGCCCCTCCTGGTCACTAAGCAGGTGCACCTTTCCGGACTTTGTCGATGGTGAACTTGTTGGCCTCGTCTTTGATGTCCTCGATGGTGGGGAGATAGAGATCGCGAGGGATGCCCCCGTTTTCCTCGTAGAGGAACTCCACCGTCTGCCGCGCTATGTCGACCATCCCTGAAATGCAAAGCAGCCTCTGGATTGGCCTCCAATCCAGGATCGGTAAGAGACGGGGTGGGCCGAGGGGAGGGTCCCCCTGCCCAGAATTCCCGGCAGACGCGCCCAAGCCTCTCGGGTAACACCCAGGAAAGAAAGAGGAAGAGGAAGGGGAGGCTGGGGTCACGTTCCAAAGGGAGACGGGTCCGCATTTACCTAACTGCAGGGCTCCCTTAATCTGATCCAAGCCGGATTTCCTCTCTGCTTCATTGCGGAAGCGCCTCCTAATTGTGGGGAAGACCTTGGTCTCCCAGGCCTTCACCAGCAGGGCGTAGTGGTCCTCCTGCAGAGGGAGGGAGGCGGGGGGGGGGTTCGCTGAGGGGGCAAGGCGGTGCCCAGCCGCCAACGAGGAAAGGACAGCGGGGCCCCTTCCCCTTCCCTCCCCCCCCCGGCTGCTCCGCTCACCCGGGGGACGTCGTCGTCGTCGTCATCGTCGCTCTCGTCATCCGCAATGGGCGGAGGGTGAAGGTCTGGTCCAGAGATGACGAAGTTCTCGTAGCTGCGCTCCGTTTTGTAATGACAAGAGGAGTCGCTGTCGTATTCTGGAAAGAGGGAGGGAGAGGGGGGGGACAGAGCATTAAGGGAGGGGCAGTTCTCTCCCCCACGACCCAGAGCCTTTAGCCCCTTAAGACCGTCCCGTGGTTGTTTGTGTCTCGTGATGTAGGGTGATTGTACGATGATTGTGGTCATAATTCATCCCTTGTGGCTTGTATGGACGCCGAGAGCTTCTGCGCCAGAGAGAAAGGCCTTGTGTGTCCAGTCATACTTGGCCAATAAGAAGAATCCCGTTCTGTTCTGTTCTATTCTATCCCCTATTCTATTCTATTCTATTCTATTCTATTATTCTATTCTATTCTATTCTATTCTATCCTATCTATTCTATTCTAATCTAATTCTAATCTAATCTAATTCTAATGTTATTCTATTCTCTCCTATTCTCTCCTCTCCTCTCCTCTCCTCTCCTCTCCTAGTTCTAATCTATTTCTATTCTTGTTTTTGTTGCTTCTGTTTCTATTCTGATTCCATCCTGTCCTGTCCTACATTTTGGCCATGCTGGTTAGCAGCTATTAGATATATTTTGATGACTGATCGATAAAGTGGGACACTTTGTCTCCAAAAGGAGACAATTCAGCCTTTGGTCTCAAAAGGCAACGTGCCTGTTGGGATCTCCTATTCTAGAGATTCCCCTAGAACGCCACCGCTGAGCGATTCCTTCCTGCGTTACTCTGACTTTGCTTTGCGAGGGAGGGCAGGGAGGGGCGGGACAAGCAGCAGGCAGAGGGGAGCCTCACGTTGCTGAGCGGTGGCCACAGCTGCGATCCTGCAAGGAGGCCCGTGAGGTCCAGGATCGGAAGCACTACTGGTGCCGGCGTCGTTGTCGCTGTCGGAGGCCATGGCGAAAGGCAGCACTTCAAAGTTGGCACTGATCTCTTCTGCCAGGTCGATGCAGAGGTCGGCGGCGTTTCGGTGGGCTTGTCCCTCCACGTAGGCAAACTGATGAGACCCAAAATTGGCCCGGACTTTGGTGTTCTAGAAGGAAACAGGAACACAAAAGAGCTCAGCTCTTGTAGAGCATTCGGGATGCTCCTGCTCTCTGCAAGGAAAGCCGTGGCGTTCGTGGTATTGGAGAAAGGGGAAAAAGGGGCTTCTACTGTCACACAAATGCTGGGTGATGTTATTCCCAGACCTGCTTTTCCCTTCAGCACAAGGCAAAATAGTCCCCGTCTTCCACCTGTTCTGGGTTCTGATGATTGATTGCACGGCAGGGGAGACGATGGCACTCCACAAAAGCTCAGCTAATCTCTGAAAGGCTTGCTTCTTATACAAAACGTAAAAGAGAGGCTCTGTGGCGCAGTGGTTCGAGTGCTGTACTGCAGGCCACTTCTGCTGACTATCGGCTGTTCAAATCCCACCAGGCTCCAGGTTGGCTCAGCCTCCCCTCCTTCCCAGGTGGGTAAAATGAGGACCCAGATTGCTGGGGGGCAAGAGGCCGACTCTGTAAACCGCTTAGAGAGAGGGCTGTAAAAGCGCCGCAAACCGATATATCAGTCTAAGTGCTATTGCTTTATGACGTTACACTTAAGGCTGAGCCCATCTGAACAGAAAGAGAGGTGTGATGTTTAACCTGCCTTCTTCTGGATATGGACCACTGGCCACATTCCTCCCGACACGTCTTCCAAATACGGCCCCAGCCGCTGTCCACAGTAGGTGAAGTAGACCCTGCCTTTGGCCGGCTGCCCTGGAGGAGGAGGGGTCCCTTCCGTCCGCTCCCAGCCGATGCCTGCCACATCACCTGTGGAGGAGGCCGAGGGACCAGAGAGGGACTGAGTGGGGCTCTTCCACCCCCCCGCCCACCCCGGAGGACGCCTTCTGCTTAGCCACAGGCCGGAGGGGGCTTACCAGGGCAGAGGGCCACATCCAGGCGCACGCTCTTCCACTGCAGCAAACTGGAACCGTTGTAATGGACAGCTCGCCCGTTGCTGGGAATGCAGGAAGGAAGGGACACATTCACAGAGGAAGCTCCGACTCCCCCCTGGAGGGTCCCAGGCTTAGCAGGGAAACTTGGCCGTGGCGGGCAAGCAAATGCGTGTGATGGTTCGCAGGACGAGGGTAAAGCAACGTCTTGGTGAACGGATTCTAGGCAGACCCTCTGAAAGTGGCTTTATCTCATTGCCGGCCCAGAGCTGCCCTGGCCCTGTTTCACTTAATGCAACAGACACCCCCCGCCCCCCCCCAAGGCTCCAGTTCTTGCTCTCACACCTCCCAAACCTACTTGTGGAAGAGGCAAGTGCCCACGGGGTTAGTCCACGCTCCATCCCGCTTCTCAGCTTCCGTGGCAAAGCCGAAGGAGACAATGGGGCCCGTGTCGTCATCTGCGTCTCCGTAGGACACGACTTCGATCTCCCAGTAGAAAGAGGGCGCCTGGGAAAGGAGCGCCCCCCCCGCAGGTGAGCCGAGGGCTTCACAGCGGCCTTCCCGAACGGTCGCTGGGCCCGCTGTGAATGCTCACCTGCACAGGAACTGCCGAGGTGGCATAAATGAAGGTGCCCCGAGGAAGCCCTCCCCCAGCGCTGGGGTCCGCCAGGAAGGTCACCGCGGTGAGATGGGAGGAGAACATGCAGGCTCGCACAGGTGGGAAGACCCTTGAGGGGCTCCAGGTGATTTCTTTAGGCTGAACCAAGAAGACACAGAGCTGCGTTTAATCACAGCTGTCAAGGTGGCATCAACTGGTGACCGCAGCACCCCAGGAACCGCATCCTTGACCGGTGGCAGCCTTGAACCCAGAGAAGGCTTTAAGCCCACCCCTCTTGCTCTGTATTTACCTGTCTTCGGTCTGCCTGGAGGGGGGGTGGGGGTGGCCGAGCGCTATCGCGGTAGAGCATCCGTAACCTTTCGCACTGCGCTTCGACAACAAGGAGCCGCTCCCCTAGAAGGTGGCAAAGGAAGCCTCTTCAGACCCCACTCACTCCTGTAAGGACGTCTTCTGAAGCTACATTTCTAGTCTCAGGGGCTATTAATGCGCCAACTGCTTCCTCCAAAGGGCCAAGCGCTGGTCAGACCACAAAGCCAAGGGGGTTCCCGGCTGCTCTTTTTTTGCCCGCCTGTCCTTGACGTGATTAAGGAGAGGACCAAAGTTAATCGCCAAGGATGCTGGGTAAGGTTGAGAATGACAACCCAGCTAGGTGGCCTTCAAATCCAGGAGGGATTTGAATTGGGATCTCTACAGTCTGATCCTGTTTCTTTAATCCACAATATTTTCCAGGCAGCCTCTTCTTCACTCCCTTCAGGATAATATTTTTTCCGGTCACAATAACCCAGTCTACGTCTGCGACCGAAGACTCAGCTCTTACCAGGGCTGCATTCCTGGGCTACGAGGTTGAGGACTTCCACCGCAGCTGGACACTGCTGGATGAATTCTTCACAGAAGGAGGTGTCCTCCAAGAGCTGGGCCATCACCAGGCATGCTCTTTGGGGGGGGGGGGGGGTGTGAGAGAGAGAGAGAGAGAGAGAAAAAAGGCAAAGCGTGTCTTTAGGAGTTCTTGGGAATGGTCCGTGCCTTCTAGAGACCACCATGCTGATAAAACAAGCAACTAGGGGACAGAGCTCATTAGGCCTTGAAGGAAAATGTGGGGTCCTTTTGCTTGCTGGAAAACTCACCCAGTAGAAGGCCTTGAACCCTGAACTCAAACCCCAGTCAGGCAAATCAAGTACCCCAGGCAAACAGCCACAGGACTCCAGTTTGATCTGGCCGTGGGATCCGTCCCCACCCACCTGGTTCGGATTTCAGCCAGCAGACGGACCACGGCCATGACTGGTGTCGAGCCGTCTCCCGTGGCAGGAAGCGAGGTGTGGATAGACAGGCTGCCCTCCTGCGGAAGCAACATGGACTGGACGGCTTGCACGACCTTCTCCGTGAGGGACAGCTTCTGCAGAGGCAAGGCCTGAGGAGCAGGGGGAAAGCCAGAAGGGGTCATTTTCTGGAAAGCCAAGGAAGGACCTGCTCTCATTGTGGCTCAGGCATCATTGTCCCAACCGGAAATGGAGGTCTGCCAGCCAAGAAGAAGAACCGAGGTAGCTGGGTACTTTTGGGGGGTTTACTGCAGTTGACTTTCTAAATTGCCTTCTTTAGATATAGAAAACTTAAAAGTTCTCTCGCCACCAGCATTATTTTTGGAATTGGCCTTTCTAATGATCTAAACTCTGGAGCCTGAAGATAGAATTCTTTATTGGCCAAGTGTGACTAGACACACAAGGAATTTGTTTCCGGTACGTAAGCTCTCAATAGACATGCAACAATAACGACACACAACAAAGTTATAGAAACTGCACCTTCAATTTAAACATTCACACACTGACCTGCTCCGTTCTGGGTGTTAAAATGGACTCACCTCTGACCGCGGAATGCAGAGCCTCGATAATGGAATTGTTAAAATGTCCGAGGCCTGGGAGGCCTTCCTGCAGTCTATGTTGACCGGTGGGAGTTTGACCGTGGCTATCCCTTCCTGTTCATTAATGGAGGCCACCACTCCCACACTTCTGTCAATTCCTCTGCCCAACACCTGTTGACAGGAGAAAGAAAAGGTGGGGGAATACATTTAAGAGCCATCCAATATGGGGGCCAGGAGAGACGGTGGCCAAAATGTCAGTCACAACGGTCAGTCTCTTCGGGGTTTGGTGAGTGACAAGAGGCCGGTGCCCACCTGAACTTCGGAGCCGATTTTGATGGTCTCCTTGAAGCCGCCCAGGGCACACAGGGCAGCCACCGCTTGGCGAGCGATCCTCTGCAGCTTGGCCAGCTTCCTTCCGTTGCTGCTGCCGTTCTCCAAGATGCTCTCGGCATATTTCCCCAGCTGGGGGATGTACATCAGAGCACGAGACAAGACCTGGGGACAGGAAGAGGCCCAAGCGGGCGGGCACGTTGGAGCCGCCTTCCCGGCAAGACCCTTCTCCGGGGGAGGGGGGGGTGGGTGGGTTACGAAGCAAATCGGAATCCAGCCCAAAACTGTTGCCTCACATAATGCACGAGGCATCGCACATTCATTCACCCCCAGGGTCCTTTTCTAGGGAAATGCTTCCATTTCAGGCTTCCAAACCTTTAAAACTTTCTCCCCAACCTGAGGGGCTGAGAGGCATTATGCCTGCTGGCTGCAGAGAATCAAGAACACCCCCCCCACTCCTCAAACTAACCCTGAGCCACGCAGCAAAGGAAGGATGAAAGGGAGCTGCAGGTGCCCACCAAAGGCTGGGCACCCCTCTCAGCCCAAACCAGCAGGGGCAGGAGGCATCCTTCCGTGGCGGAGAGCCGGATGCCCTTGTCCGTTTGCAGAATGACAAGCTTGCTTAAAAAAACCCCAAAGCCAGCGCAGGGCAGGGTGAGAGAGGAGTGCAAGACTGCGAGTCCTTCCCCCGCTTACTTTCTCGGCGGTGGTGGTCCATATCTGAGCGGCGTTCGACTCGGGCGCCATGAGCAAGCTGTGAAGCAGAGCGATCACCTCCGCCGCCATGCTGTTGGCCACGTGCCCGCTGATGAAGGGCCGCACGGGGTCGGTCCTGAGACGAGGGAGGGGGGTCAGGCTCCAGCGTCCCCCTTGCCCACCACCTTCGGGGCGTCCGGCCCTCCCTCCCTGAAGCGGAGCCGAGAGCGAGGGATCGACCTGCACAGCTGCTTCCCAGACCCAGGAACCCCCCGCCCCCCGCTGGCTCTTTGGGGGGTCAGAGGTCAGCCCACCTGGCCAGCTCCGAGTTCCGCTCCCTGCAGGTGGAGGTCTGAGCCGTCTTCTTCTTGTCCCCTGTGGAGAGGCCGCTGGTGCTTTCGGGACTGGCCGTCTCCACCGGGGGGCCCACACTCACAATCAGCCCAGATTGGGCCCACTTGGTGGCCTTCCGCAAAGCCGCAGCCGCCTCCTCTGTGATCACCTCGCAGCAGCCACTCTGGGGAGGGAGGGAAGGAAGGCCTGGGTTGCCGTGGCCCCTGCCACGTCCTCAGCTCGGAGGGCAGAAGGGGCCACCCCTGGGGCCCGTCAAGGTCTGGGGCCCTTTGCAAGGCCCCCGGAGGGGCTGCTCTTACTTTGGTCATGTCTCGGTCCATCTTGACCACCTTCTCCATGTTGGCCCCCGTTCCCAGGCGGAAGGGGCGGCCTTCGGAGCTACTGCGAACAGAAGGAGCACAGAGGGTGAGAACGTGGAAGGTCCACCCGTGGCTCTTGACGGCGCCACCCTCGGGCCGGGTTACCTCAAGAGCGGCTGGAGAACCTCGTGAGACGACTGGTCTTCCCGCTTGTGGATGAAGATGGAGAGCTTGCCGTCCACGGCCTCGCTCTCTTCTCCTGGGTCTTTGTCTCCCTTGAGGGAACTTTTGGGGTTCGCCTTCGCCAGGGACATGTCGGGCTCCGAAGCGGTTGGGGAGAGAACCGTCTGGCATCCTGTT